CAAAGAAAGACTTCAGACTAAAAAAATCCAATATTCTTCCTATTTTTCTTGGATCGGGCTTTAAAGGGTCAACAATCAATGAATCTAAACTCTCTTACGAGGCGGGAACAAGACAAGGAACGAAATGACGAAAACGTACTGCACAAGACAAGGAATAAACGAGGACTATTTAAACACATGAGGGAGGGGAACCCCAGGTGAACACAATAAGTAATCAACACATGACAACACACCAGAAATTCCCTCAAACGTGACAACTGCTTCATCCTTACAGAAGAAGAGTCGTTCCACAGAAGTGACAGGCCTCCTGCTGCGGTCGTATTATCTAAAAATAATGTCAAAACACGAGTTCCTCACAGCTAAATCTGTCGCCGCGGAGACGGATTAGACACGCTGTGTTTAAAGCTGTATCACCCCAAACAAACGGAAAAAAGAAATCCCCCTCAGCCAGATCTCACTACAGAAGTTGAACAAGTGGCTAAATGCAGCTGTTTGTTAGCGAGGGTTCAAAGCATTCAGACGGATTATTTACATCCCATCCCCCATTTTACACATGAAATTTAAAACTCGTTTTACTCTACGACACAGTGCAAGTTCATTTAACCGTTTAAAGCATGATCCAAGAATAAAACAAAACAGAAAATTACTTCTTTTTTTTGTTTGAATTCCTTATTTGTCCGTTTAACAAAATATGTAAATTTCCCCCATATCAGCTTCTTCTTATGGACCAATAAAGACCATGTTTCTCTAAACTACCTAACAAACTATGCGATAAATCCAGATTATTTTTTGTGTAGTCTTCTGCCCCCTGTTATCAGGTGTATCTGATTGTGTTCAATAGGATTTAGAGCAAAGTTTTTACCATTAAATTAAGCAAAAGGAGTCAGACGCGAAACATTTCAGAAACCGTATCAAATATGACACATTTGGCATTACAGGGTTAAGACCTCACAGAGGCATAGCTAGCTTTAGCTTTTAGAGAAGACCAAAGAAAAGGCCTGGGGAGGATGGATGAAGGCAAACGGTAGAGACACAGGTTGAATTACGAACAATAAAAGAAAATCCAAAGTCAATCCAGCAGCTCAGAGCAAAGAGGATGGAATAGATGGACGGACTAGATAAACTCTCCACTCAGCAAAGGCCGGTTTCACATAAAGTTGACTCAGCAGGTGAGGGTCGGTGATTGCTTACAGACTTTTGTTGGCTGCTCAGCACTGGATTTGCACATGTAAATTGCTAAACTCATCTAAGAGCAGAGCGTCAACTTTTAATGTGGTTCTGACGCCACTCGGACTGTAGAAACTCTAAAAAGTGCAAACGTGACCTCAGAAATGTCGAAGCCAGACTGAAAATAGATGCTTAATTTTTTACTCATACAAGTTAGTTGGTAAAATGGAGACTTCATGCAGCTTCAAAGAACAAATGTGGCTTCAATGCATAGACGGCTTTCATGGTTAACAGTTAACTACAAACTTAAATTAAGACTTCTCCTATTTATATGGAATGTTTTCTTTCAAAAACAGCCCTCATTTTTTGCTGAACATTTAGTCCTTGTTGAAAAAAGTCACAATTATTTAACAAAGCGTGCACGAGGTGGAGACATTAAACTCCCTCGACCCAGAACAAACTATCTAACATCCACAGTGCATTATATATAGTATATATATTATATACATATATTATCTATATATAGTATATAAATTATATATATATATACATATGTCACTGGAACCAACTGCCAATAACCACAGGAAGAGTTCAGAACAGAACAAGCTTCAAAATATTGTGTCTTCAGATGATATGATGAACTGACCTGTGTATGTATGTGGTATATTTCTCCTCTTTTTCATGTTCCTATTATTTCCTAATGTGATTTTTTAACTTGGTTTGTTCATAATGTAATTTCTTCATGTGAGGACCCCAGGGAGACTAGTGGCCATTTATTTGGCAACTAATGGGGATCCTAATAAAACTAAACTAACCTGTTTTGAAAGGAAAATTATTTTTTTTATCACATAATTTCAGCTGCAACTATTTTAGATTTTGTTTCATAATCCTCCGTATGTTCTAAGTGGATTACAAGTCAGATTAGTGGCTCAGTGTGGCGTGTTGAGCTATTAGTCAGGTGGAGTTATTAGTCAGGAGTCAGAAAGGGGGCCGTTTTTTTACCGTGTAAAATCCAACAGACACTTAGGTTGAGCCGATGACTTCCTCCACAGGAGTTTATGCTCATGTAACGGGTTTAATTTGTTATGATTCCACTTGTCATTATTTTTCATTTCTGGCTCTGTTTATGGGGAAACAGCGCCCTCTCTTGGTGGCCGGTCGCGATAAGTACAGTGTGCACAGCTACCTCGTCGCCATTATATGCGAGACGGGCGCGAGGTGAGTTATAGGCTGTTAGCACAGTGATAAAGTACAGTGTTTTATAAGCAAATGTCAATTATATGAGCCCTAGCTGGATGTATTGATCGCAAATGAAGT